CGCAAACAAGTGAAGGCACTGCCCCCTGGCCATGGCCGGCAGGGCGGGGCCTCCTGAAATCCAACAACTCTCGGGAATAAATGGAGACACTGCTGACGTGGGGCCCCTGTCTTCAAAAGCTCCAGGCGGTCCAAAGGCCAACTGTTTAATTCAGCAAACTCTCCTGGAGCGAGGAGTTGAAGGAAGGGAGGATTTTACATTCTGTTTGCAGCTTCCTGGGAGTCCTCTATCCCCTGCTTCAGCCTTTTGTATGTTGACTCATCAGAGCCTAGAAAGGAACAGCGGAAGCAATCTGGTGTTATGATTATAATTGTTTATGCTTCTTAATATTATCATCATCATCCGGATCATTTCTGTTGTTATTCTTACTTAATGTCTGAAAGACCCACGGGGCTCTCGGGGTTTACACAGCGGAGATGCCAGTTAAAGCTGTGGCAGTGCTGGAGGTCAGGCTCCTGGGCTGGCGGAGGCAGCGAAGACAGTCACTCTCTTTCGCTCACCGCGGGGTCACCTTCCACCCACAGCTCCTGGTCCGTCTGCCAGCCCTTCTCAGAGACAATCTGTAAGTCATTTCCCAGGGACTTAAGGGAATTGCAAACTTACCCCTTCTGCCACTAGATGGCAGGCAACGCGACGTGCCTTTTCCAAGGATGGTATTAACGGCAGTCGTAAAGGATCCCCCTCCGTCTCCAAGCGTTTACTCCTTTTAAAAAATCAGCAAATCTCAAGCTCATTTCTGATTTCAAGCCCAACTTGCTCCACCTCTGCGGGTACCCCGAGTCGGCCTGCTGTAATGCGCTGCCCTTCAGGGATTCATAATCACAACCCTGATAACAGCAAACCCCCGTGACTGTGGGTTTTATGGGTTACAAGGCACCATAGGACCGGCAGGGCTCTTTTGCATGCCGCATCTTATTTGACAAGCGAAGGTACATCCAGTGGGGCTGGCCACAATGCAACTTCATTATATTGACCCACAACGCACGTGCAGTGTCCCGCTGATCCCTTCACATCTGCTTGATAAGGACACAGTGGCTACACAAGGTCTTAGAACACATGGCAGGAGTGGAAGGTACTGGGCAAGTGACAGCCATTACTTTAGCTCAGTCTCTCTGGGACCTGAAGCTGGCCCACCCACTAGGCTGGCAGCTGAAAGGCCAAGTTTACCAGACTAGGTACTTTGGGTACAGCATTTCCCAGTTTGTCCTAGTAATGCCATGCCCGGACGTGGTGGGGTGGGGGGGTGGTCTGTTCTCTCCTCACAGAAAGGAACCAGCTACAGCTTGTCATTTGCATATAGCCAGCATGAGTTAAGTCACCCTTGCTCTTCAGGAATAAATTAGTTCATTCAAGAAGGAAACAAATCCTGTGTGTGTGCGTGCGTGTGTGTGTGTGTGTGTGCGCGCGTGGGGGGGGGTGTTATTCCGAGGGGTTGAGAGTGGGTAAGAGGATGGAAATCTACTTGTGTGAGATTATTTTCATCTGCTCAGTTTTATACCTTGGTCTGAAAAAGTCTGATTCCTTTTATTAACAGACGAAGCTTTTTCTCCCAGGCTGAAGTTCAGCATCACACTGACTCTGCATAGGTAGGTAATGATATATTGCAGAACTCATTGTTTTCTGGTGCGAACTACAAATGCCACACATTTGTTCATGACATCAGCATAAAAGCCAAAAAAACATATCGGCTTGGGGAGTGAGTTTGTCCATCAATCTGATGTTTTTATTAGTGCAGCTACTTAGCTGTGGGTAAAAAAAAAAATCATTGTATTCCAATAATTAAATACAGCAGGTGACTGTAATGGCTTCCACATTAGGAATGCTGCTATTTACATATTGCATATATTTTATTATAAGGCTGGAGGGAAATGAATTTTGCATAGTTTTCAAAAAAACCTTTGTTGCAGGTGCAGGTTACAGAAAGCCGTAGCTGTTTCCCTAGACTGATCTTTAATCAAGTGGCTTCCTCTCCAGGCAGCCACTGAGCTGACACTGTTCAATCTCTCTGGGTCACCCACTATCCTGAGGCTCCCAGCGCTGGCCTCCGCTGGCCTTTGGCGACATGACTTGCTACTTCTGAAGGCCAGTTGCGTAGCAGGTGCAAATTCCGTGATGGAACTTGCAGAATGGACAGCGCAAAATCTCCCCAGCTTCATTTCATCTGCTGTGCCCCGAGCAGACTTTATAAAGCAATAAAGACCGAATGTCCAAGGACTTAAAAGCAGTGTGCTGTGTTATCATCATCAATTTATGAAACTCCCACAAGGAAGCAGACATGATACAAAACATACAAATTGTACAGTTGCCGCCTCCGGAAGTTTAAAGAGCAAAGAACAAAATGTTGAAATTGGATATTACTTTCTCTCTCACCTCCTCTCTCCTTCTTCTCTCCCTTTTTCTTTTTCTTTTCTCTTCTGCCTTTGAGTTGGAAGGTTCCCTCTGGCAATCCGAGCTTGAAGAAGGCTCTGAATGTAATAGCTGAGAAGATAGGTGTGAGTCAGTTCTAAACACTGGGTGGGGGCTAGGGCAGCAAGGAACAGTCTTGGGGTGTGTGTGTGTGTGTGTGTGTGTGTGTGTGTGTGTGTGCGTCTGTGTGTTGGAGTGAGTTAAATGGGGATAAGAAAGAAGGAAAGGGGGGGCGCCTGGGTGGCTCACTTGGTAAGCATCCAATTCTTGATTTTGGCTCAGGTTATGATCTCAAGGTTCATGGGATCGAGCCCCGTGTAGGGCTCTGGACTGACAGCAGGAAGCTTGCTTGGGATTCTCTCTCACTCTCTCTCTCTCTGCCCCTCTACTACACACACTCTTACTCTCTCTCTCCCCAAATAAATAAAATTAAAAAAAAAAAAAGAAAGAAAGAAGGGGAAAGGGCAGAGGTCCTTACTGTATCCCTGTGTTTCCTCTATTCGTGTATCCTGTTTTCTCTATCATTGCATCCTCTGGGCATTACTGGCCACAGGGACCTTTTCAGGACCTCCTTTGCTGCTTGTGGGCAGGATCACCAGCCTCATTGTTACTGTATATTGTCACCCTCAGTATTTCCAATGTGTCAGGCATTATGGAAATGGGGCTGATGGCGCACGTTCCCATCCTTAAGGAGGTCATAGGCTTGTGAAGAACACGGTTCTCTAACCCCAGTACAGAAGAACGCATCCTAAGAAGGTTGAACAAAGTGCTATGGGAACGAATAAATCTGCCCAGTCTGTCTGGAACAGCTTCGGAGGAGAGGGGACAGTTTTCTTACAAAAGACTGAAGAACTGAAGGGATGCTGTAGGATTCTAGGCAGAGAGAAGGACGTGTACCTAACACAATAGCAGAAAGTTGCAGTCTCTTTGTGGAGATGATAAATCTGGATGGAGAACGTTGGCAGTTGGCATGGCGATGAGAAACACGGAGGCAAGAACACTCCGTTTTCCATCTTACCATCTACAAACCTCCCACAAAGGTGAACTTCTTTTGTTCTATTTCAGTGTCACTATTCCCAGGTTAGAATTTGGATTGACCAGGGTCACGTCGGGCAGGCACTGTGGGACAATCCTCTAAGGCCATGAGGCATCACAATGTTTCGACCAGGTGGGGTCAGATACCAATCCCTCAACCAATATCACGTAACTGGGGCATGAGGGCAGGGTTGTTTTAACATGGCTGCCTCTGCTGTGGATGGAGACAGGGAGAGATCCTTGAGGGGGAGGGGGAAGGTGGTACCAAGCAGACAGCTCCTCGGGGGGCCCAATCCACAATGACTCAGCTCTCAAACCACAAGAACGGTGCCAGTTTTGAGGAGGCACAACACGGTCTGACCCAGTCTGCCCCCAAAGAGATAGACAACCCCATTTGGAATTCACTACAGCATCTAATAACTTCACTGCCAGGAAGTGCTTCCTTCTATCTAACTGGCTATACTCTAAATTGCCTTGAGAGAACATAAAATATTCATCCCATGACCACAGGCTCAAAGACGGCTACTAAGTGTTCTCATAATCTGTCCCCTATAATCAACTGACTGTCAGTAACAAGCATCCTGCGGAGAGTAAGATCCAGTCAAGGCTCACGGGGAGTTTGAAGTGTGGCATCTAGGAAGACAGCAAAGAAAAAACAACCCCTGACCAACCAGCACGAGAGCATTTGGGTGCCTCCATTTGGGCGGAACTCACACGCCCTCCCTGCCCATCTCCACGCTAGTTGAGGGTTTGGACGAAAGGTGGTCAGCTTGAACGGAGCGCTCCTCTCCACTCACGGTTATTTCGGGAAGCTCTTTTTAGCTCCAGGCCTGGGGGTCCCTGCACACGGGGAAGCAGAGAGAGGGCTGCTGGTGAAGCAGGATCCAGCAGACTCCCTCGATGTCTTTGCCCAGAGGAGGATGGTACCCTGAATCTGCATTGCCCTCCACTGACCCTCAGCACTTCCTGAAAGGATGCGCGGCCTGAAAACCAGGACGCCGTGGGAAGGGAAAGCGGCAGATCATTCCTCCTGGGAATCAGGGTCGCGGCCTTAGAAGGGCCACGAGGGGCCACGTCCACTGAAAGCCAGGGCCGAGAACAGAAAATCCCAAGCATCCGGATGGGACTAGGGTGCGTGTGGGTGGCACGCACGCATGACGATGTGATGGCCCTCACTGGGTGACCTGGTGACTCTGCCAGCCCTGGGGGCAACACAGTTCCGGAGCCACCGATCTCGGCACCCTAACGCCTCAACCCTAACCCTAAAGTCTGACATGAGCAGAAAACAAAATCCTCCCCCTGCGGAAGGGTGAGGGGTGCGGGCGGGAGTCTGCATGATTTTTCTGCACTAATTGGAATCTGAGAGCTCTATTTTAGCGGAGACCCCAGAGAGAGAGCCGAGTGGTGAGTCGCGGGCACCAGGCCGGGGCAGGGCTTGGTCTGGGGACGCCGCGGCTGGCCTTGTTCAACGCGAGCTCGGCGCGCCCTCTCGCGGCCGCTCCGTTCAGCGCACGTCTCGGGAAGCAGCTGGCCACCACATACGAATGGACTCCGCGTAGTTAAGCTGTCAGGTCTAATGTATTTATTTGACTCTCTGCTGTTAAAATGATTTCTCTACAGCACTGCGGTTATTTACGGCTATTGTCAGTACAAGGCGATGAGAAGGCAGCAGCAGAACAAAACAACAACAGCTGAAGGAAAGGTTCTGTCTGGGAGGGTTAGGGGGCTTGGTCACAGCCTTTCCTGTGGCTGCAGAGGCTGTTTGTTTACTTAATCTGCAGCGGGGGCTTTTGAGCGCGCTCATCCATAATGCAGAACACATTGCCCTAGGCCCTCAGCCCTCAGCCCTCAGCCAGCCCTGGCAGGAGCTGGTGGAGGAGCTCCGACCCCCAGGGAGGACAGCCCCTACCCCTCTACCGCCGGGAACATTTTTCTAGAGACCCGCTGACTGGGTCCAGACCAAGTCTTCTTTACTAAGAGAAGGGCGAGTCCTTATCCGGCTGGACCCGGGATCCGGCTGTCCTGTGGTGTCTCATCTTCTACTTTCTACTTTCTAGGGCTGGGTTGCTCCGAACGTGGTACCCAGATTGGCACCGTCCACACTACCTAGGAACTTGTTAGGAATGCAAATTCTCAAGTCCCAGCCCTGCACAAGAAAGCGAAAATCAGGAGAGAGAAGGAGCCCTCCAGGAGGTTCTGATGCAATGCTCAAGGTTGAGAACCACTGGCCTGGTCATTAAGCCACCAAGATAAACCTGGCAGTGTGTTTACAGAGGTCAGTGGCCCCGAGCTCCTGAAACCTGGTCCCTCCTCCTCCTCCCTCTTCTTTTAAAGGTCCAGTTGGTAAACGCGTGGGCTCGGAGGCAGGATAGGCTAGTGGCTAAGGACAGGCCTTCCAGTCGGTGCTCAGACTCAGCTTTGTGACCTTTGAGAAATTAATCTCTATAAAATAAACACACCAATAATAGACTTACAGCGTTATTATAAGGACTGAATGAGTTAATACAGCAAAGCTCTTGGAAGAGTGGCCGGCCCGTAGTCAGTGTTCATAAATGCTAACTATTGGAGTGTTTTGTAATATTGGCTTTTACGTCCATCTGCCCAAGTGCCAGCCATCACTCAGAGTTGTGGTTTGTGGATAGATCACTCGTTGTCAGAAGAGCCGGGTTTATGTACAGCCTTTGCTGCTTATAAGCTATAGCCCTCAGAGCAAACCACTTAGGTTCTCTGTGCCTCAAATTTCTCATCTAAAAATCAATACCTACCTCAAGTTTTCATATAAATTATCCTATTTATTCCTCGCATAAGCCCTTGTGCTAGGAAGAACAGGTCTGTCCCTGTGCCCGTTGTACAAATAAAACAAGCAGGACTCAGAGAGGTCAGGTCATGTGCCCAAGGTCACACAGGGGGTGGGAGATGGAATCAAGACCAGAATCCTTTTCCTCTGACTCCTGTCTAATGAATTTGTATGAGATCATGCACGTGAAAGCCCTATACATATGATAGTTATCATTATTATTTTGGAAGAGCAATCAGAAGAAAAGCATCCCATTTTCTGCATACGAGTCCAGGAAATTAACATAAGAAACCATAAAATCTTTCTGGGAAGAAAAAAAAAGAAGAAGAAAGAAAGACAAGAAAAAGAAATCAATACCAAAAAAAAAAAAAGACAGAGAGAGAGAGAGAGAAACAAAACGAAAAGCACAACATTCTGGTGTCAAGATTGAGGGTAAAACGCAGAATTAAATGGAGAAGCCACACCAACATTTCCCCCCTTCTCGGGAGATCTGTCTGTGTTCAGGAAAGGTGTAGGATTGACAGCGGGAGCTGGCGGTCTATTTATCCGGGGACAGGCGAGGCCCGTCTGTTTAGCATTTATATAGTGCTTGTCTCCTCCGCAGCGTCTAGTGCAAGTGAGGAACCCGGTGGATGGGTCATCGCGGGCGGGGGATCAGAAGAGCAGCCAGGGTGCAGGAACGGGAGGGATCCCGCGACGACAGGAGGGTCTCAGCAAGAGCCCCCAGTGAGGCCGAGACCCAGGCTTGGAGAAGCCTGCGGGTTTGCCAGTGTGGCTCTTTGCAGGGGATCTGTCGGAGGAGACCCAGGAGGGGAGAGCGCTCAGAACGCTCCCACTGGGAGGAAAGCTGTCTCCCCCAGGGGTAATGGAAAGCAGCCTCCTGCAGCCCCCTCCCCAGCGAACCACCTTAAACATTGCTTCTACCCCGCATTCCTCTTGCCTAGAAACCTTCCACCAACCCCCCTTCTCTCTCCCTGAATCCATCCTGTTTCTCTGCCTGGGGTCCAGCCCTGCTCCTCCCTCCCCCTCTCGTTTCCCTGGGCCCCTGGGGTGGCAGTCCCTGCTGGAGATGTCCTGGGATGTGGGGGCCGGACACCTGGATGTAAAGACCCAGCCCTCGATTCTGGTTCTGTTCCTAGGGACTCAGAGCCCTGAGCTGGTGTTGTCTGGGTTTCACCTGCAGAAAGGTGCGGGGCTCCTTTAAAGATGGAAATTTGTGAAACACCTATAATGAGTCTCAATGAGCTCTTCTTCTTCTTCTTTTTTTTTTTTTTTTTAACTTTTCCAGGGGTCTAAGGAATCTGTTTGCTCCGGGGGGAAGATGAGGATTTGTTTTTAATATAAAGAAGGCAAAGAAAGAGAGAGAAAAGAGTCAGAAGCAGGAATTTGCATCCAGACGAATGGGGTTATTGACTTGGGGTGTGATTTTTAAACATTTCTTAAGGTCCTTTTTGGTCCAGCATGAATGCACCCCAGGAGACTCACCTCATGGTCCCCTTGTTCCAAGGCAGCCAAGCCATGAGACTCTGCTCAGGGGGACCAGGGTTATTTTGCAACAGGTACAGGAAATGGTGACAAAAACAAGGCGGCGAGAGGTAGAGAGGTAGGAGAGGGAAGCCTTGGCTGGGAAGCGTTGTCTGAAATTGCCCTCATTGTTTTGCTCACTTACCTGTAGGGGCTTGGCTCTGGAAGGTGCACTCCCAGGATGCCCTGCGGTCACAGCCACAGCAGCAGAGACCTGGTAATGCAGTGTGGGCAGGCACAAGCGCTCCCTTGCTGGGGCACCTGCGTGGCTCAGTCGCGTAAGCATCTGACTCTTAGTTCCTGAGCCCGTCCCCCTTCCTCAGGCTCCACACTGACAGTGCAGAGCCTGCTTGGGAACCCTCCCTCTCCTCTTCTCTCTCTGCCTCTCCCCTGTGCACGCTCTCTCTCTCTCCCTTGCAGCTTAGCTTTCTTGGGCCTCCTTGACTTCCAGTGACGTAGGTGGGACCCAGAAGCACCCCATCCACAGCGGCACCAGTGTGGGAGGGAAGGCAGCTGAGTTGAAATCCAGTAAGATGGCCAGGAGCTCACTGTGACAAGAGGAGAGAGGGGGCGTAATATTGTGATTTATAATAAGAGATATGTATTTGGTCTGCCTGCTGGTTTCAGGTTCCCAGCTCCTCAAACCATTGGGATTTCCTGTGATAAGAGTGATAAAGATGTCTTTTATTGCGTTCATGAAGTGACTTTGGGAAAGCCTCTGGGTCACCTAAGGAAGGGGGCTGGTGGCCCATGTGATTGGAGGGTTGGAATGTTCAGTCCCACCCCCCCTTCCCACCCCCCCACCCCACCCCACCCCCCGCCTCACACACCACCAGACTTCCAGGGAGGGGAGAGAGGGGGAGAGAGGCTGGAGGTCGAATCAGTCAGCGACAAGCAATGATTTAATCCACTCTGGGTATGTAATGAAGCCTCCACAAAACCCCAAAAGGACGGAGTTTGGAGAGTTTCCAGGCTGGAGATCACGTGGAGATGGGGGGGAGTGCACCTGGAGGGGGCATGGAGGTTCCCCGCCCTTCCCACATACCACACCTTGTGCGTCTCTTCCCTTCCATCTGGACGTTCCTGAGTTGTGTCCTTTTGTGATACACTGGTGATCTATGACTCAAATGTTTCTCTGCGTTCTAGGAGCCAGTTAACAGAACCTGAGAAGGTCACGGGAACCGCCAATCTACAGTCAGTTGGTCAGGAGAACAGGGGACAACCTGGATGTGCCTGAGGGTGAGGGGCGAGGGGGTGGTCTTGTAGGGCTGAGCCCTCACCCTGTGGAATCCGAGCTGTCTCCAAGTGGAGAGCGTCAGAATTGAGGCCAGCAGAGCACCCAGACACGGGAGGACTCAAGGACGATATAAATGCTTCTTCCCCAAAGCCGAGTGAACCCCTCCCTCTGCACACCACACACCCCTCACCGTCTTAAAAAAGAGCAGGAGGCAATGGGGAGACTGAGTAATTGTCCCCAGATTCCGAGCATTGCCTTCAGGGAATGTTTAACAAAATGAAGCCTGTTGAATCCACGGTAGAGCTAACAGTAATCTCTCTGTCGCCATTCAGAGGGCCGGGGCTTGTCAAGAAGATCACGTAAGACACCACATTGGCCGAGTCTATGAGTCATAGAGAGGGAATCAGCAGCAGCTCCCCCGCCTTCCCCCCGCCCCCGACAGACGGAGGCTGTGGGCTGTTCATCTTCAACCCTCCACTGCGTGGTTCTGCTCAGCCTGTCCATCTCAGGCCTCATCTGCCCCACCTCATCTTCTCCAGGAGGTGTCTCTGAGTCCTCCAGCCTCCCTCGGTGGCCCCTTCAAGTATTCCTTCCTTCGCGCGCACGTCCATTCGTGAAGCCCAGACCAAATCCTCTTATGCTATTCGGGATGCAAATGCGGCCGAGGCACAAGGCGTTTGCAGATGAGGGGAAACGTCCCCCAAAGTCTTCCAGCGTCTAGAGACCTAGATGCTTAGAGTTTATGTCCATACGCTTGCTCGTGCTTTGCCCAGAGCTGATCCTTCGTAAGCACTGGTTGAATGGATGAAGGACAACTTGATCTTGGATTCTTTCCCTGTTTGTTCTCCCAGGCATGCATGGGCAGGGCTTCCACAGCACATCACCACCAGGGCGGGGGCGCTAAGCCTCTGAATTGCTTCTCGGGTTCCAGTGGGGACTACCAAGTGCCTCTCTCAGCTTCCCAGGGTCACACGAGGCTGTTGTACAGGGAGCAGCCACAGCATAAAATAACAGGTTCAGTGGCTTGGAACCTCTACTTTTCAGCTAGGGATTGTTGTTGTTGTTGTTGTTGTTGTCGTTGTTGTTGCTTCTCAGCCCAGGGGAATGATGGTCGTGGCGAATCAGTCCACCAGTGTGCCGCTGACACCTGTTGATTCATCCTCTGGGGAAACGGACATCACTCCATCTCTCTTCTTCCTCTTTATCTTGTTGTCACCAGATGGGTCCAGTCTTCCGCCTCAGAAGCATCCTGCAGGGTTCCCCAGCCTCCTGTGTAGATAAGACCCAGCCCACCCGATGTACGCTCTCCCAGTTCGCTGACATTCTGAATCCCCTTTATCCTCACGGTCAGGACCGTGCTCCACCCCGAGTACATATGTAATAGACTGTTATTGAACAATGAGGCACATTTTTTTTTTTTTTTACCCTGTATGTAATATGTCAGGTCTCACTTACCCCACTTGGAATCCAGGCACCTCTGAACTCAGCCGCCTCGAGACTCACGGCTCTGGAGAGAATCCCTCTAATCCAGGGCTTCGGACACCTCATTGCATCTGGCGGAGGCCAGGATGTTTCTGAGCTTGGGCAGAGTGACCCCTCCCATCCTTGTGTCCTCCACACTTGCCCCCTTCCTCCCGCCCCCATCTTTATCCATCTTAATTCTATTTACGCTTTCAGTGACCTGCAAAGGCCCTTAATGAGGGTCCGTGCTGCCACAGGCCGGTCCACTTCCCGTAAGAAGCCCTCTGGCGACGCCCGTCTCGGGGCAGGTTCCCGGTGGCCTGCCATGGTGTCCATTGCCTCGGTTTACTCGTGTTCTCTCGCTCTTTCACCTGCCGGTCAAATCGTGTTCCCCCTGCTACTGTGAAGCTTCCCTGAAGTCGGGGATGATTCCAGTCTCTTCTTCAATCGTCTTTTAAAACCCTCCTCCACTGCACTCTCGCGACACATCCCAGGACAACCACACTTGCACCCCCACCTCGTAACCAGCACCGCTCTGGGTACGCAGCAGGCGCTCAACAAATACCGGTGTGCTGTTGACCTCTCTCCCTTGCTAATTCCTGCGGCCAGCTCCTGGTGACTTTTCCAAGTCCCTCGGTCCTCTAAGTGCCGGGTTCAGGGCATCTGCGTTCGGTAGACCGTTTCGAACGATTCTCTTACATCTACCCTGGCCTCATCCAGCTCCTCTTGAGTTTCTGGCAGGGAAGACATAGGGAAGGGTGAGGAAGGGACAGGGATCTCTGACCCTCCTAGCGACACAGGCAGGGCATTTTCTGGCATTGCCACGTCAGCATGCACGGGAGGAAGTACCTGCTTGGCAGAAAATGCTATCGCTCTGAGGAGCAGCTCGCGGTCAGGGCCATTTCAGGGAGCGTGCGTGGGCCAGCCAGTGGTGCAAAACAAGGAGCTGGATACGAAAGGAAGTGACGCCACCCTGGGACCCCGTTCTCAAGTGTCAAAGTGACCTAAGGATATTCCTAACAAAAGGCTGAACCTCCATTTATACTGTTGGTATTTGGATGTTTGTCACAATCCTAGAGGGTTAAAGTGCATACAAAAATGGCATTGTCTTAGCCTCATCCCGAGTCACATGCAGGGGCAAATGCCGCGTAACCACATCCCCCGTCTGGGGAATTTTCTGACCGAGCTCGTGGCTGATACATCAAAGAAAGGAGTCCGTAATGGTGGGAGTTCAGGCATCCGCCAGGCAGACTGAGGAGGCATCGAGTCCTTCTAGGGCCCGAAGCCTTGGGTCACCTTCCTGCCAGCCTGGCAGCAGTTACGTCTGTGGCTCGTGGAGCAGGCGACTCCCGGAGCCGCGATCGGCACCTCTCGAGATGTTTTCATTGCTCTTATGTGTGCATTCATAGCTTACTGCATGCAAACCTGGGCGAGGCATAGCATCCCCAACGAGGGGGAAGCTCTGGATATGAAAGGACATAGTCGTGGCACAGTCATAGGAATAGCAGGCATCACAGCTAGTGCATTTGAAGATCAACCTCGCGCTCGCTGTATTAGACTCTAAGCATATGTTGCCAACGTCACGCCCGTATAGCCAGTAAGAGGGCTGTGATTAGTCTCTGTGGACAGATGAGGAAGCTGAGGCTCAGAAAAGGTAAGTAACTTTTCCAAAGTCATCTCTGCAGTGAAGGGAGGGCACCAGGATTGGGAGCTGTCCGTTGCCTGCAAATCCCGGGGCCCTCTTTGCACTCTGCGGCTGGAAGGGTTTTGCCAGAGGGAGGATTGGGAGAGAAGCGAAACGCACGAGGCGGCTGCTTGCCCTCCCAACCTGCGCCTTCTCCCACATTCCTCTCCTCCAAGCAGGAGGGCTGGGAGCCCACATACAGACTCTTGCCATCAGGGCAACAGCAGCTAGGATGACTTTTTGCGAAAGTGCACATCTATTTTTGGAAATGTTCTAGAGCATAAGTATATAAAAGGCTGGGTCAGACAGTGCCTGGGGCTGTGGGAGGGGGAGGAGACCTGACACTCCAAAGGAAGCTGGAGCAGCGGCTTCAAAAAGGGTTTGATATTTTTCCCCTGATTTTGATCTTAAAAATGTCTGGAGCCCCAGACAGCCACCGGCAGCTTTGGCCAATGGGGGTTCCAACCCCCACGACCTCACTGCCTTGCTGCAAAGGCTTCTAGTTAACAGAACTCTTTTGTGCAATGGAAAGCCAGTGAGCATGAGAGACAGAAAAATGCTGGGGTTGACAGAGACAGCTGGTTGCTGTGGCAAGGCTTCAGAATTGTCAACGGAACAACACATTGGAGACGGCGAGAAATGCCGAGGCGCTCCGTGTGATCCGGGAAGCGTGCTCCTTTCAAGCCCTGACACCTAAGGGGTTCCGGTGTGATGCCTCAGCCCGTTTTCTTCCTCCTGGACCAAGAAAACAGATGACCAGCCACTCATCTCCGGATCTCTCAATCGCTCCATCTTTGACCAGTGACAAGATGGCATTGATGTGTTCCCAGAGGAGTCTGGTTTCTCTGGGGTGACTTCTTTTTTTCCCCCCCTGTCTCATGCTTCCTCTTTTCTGAGTAGTTTTTCCTGAGTGGAGACAACAGAAGTAGACATCACGCTTATCCAGCCACCATTCGATCACACGGTTCACGTCTGAGTGACAGCCAAATGACGTGAATAATGCTACATGCGCGATGCCGTTGGGCGCCCATGCTGGGGACAGCACTCAGCCCTGGGTCTCTCGAAGAGCTGTGCAGCCACCCGTGCAGTGGGATTTCCAGAGTGCTGGCTTGGGCGTCCTACCTCCCCCAGACCTCACCTTCCCTCTGCCTCTCCCACCCCTATATGCAAAAGACTTCTGTTTTCCCCAGGTTCAAGTCTCAGCACCGACGCTGACTTCAACCTCCACTGTAAAAACTGGCACCCAGCTCCTACAGCCCCAAAAGCAATTGTTCTAGGAATCTTGAACCTGCTACTTAGAGTCTTCTGTCTCTAAACTGTCCGCACGCGCGTGCACACACATGCACACACACACACACACACACACACACACACACACACACCAGCCCTCAATCATATCCACTCTTCTCTGGCACAAGGTTGACTAAATATCTAAAGATATGCCCTGACCTTTCACACAGCTAAATGTCTTCAGATGTTGCCACTTTGATTATAATCCTTGCCTTCTCCTCCTATTATCTCAAACGCCAACCCCATGAGACACATTAAATACATAATGCATTTTGACTTGCATCTGGGCTCTGCTGTCTGGTGTGGGGAGGTTACAGCAGAAGCATATGCCTCCTTCTTAAAATTCAATTATTCAAATCCAATTTCTTCTCTTGCTCCCAGTCCTCACCAGCACGCAGTCTGGGACTTTTCATCAGATCACTCAAACTGCCAGCACTGGAGCCAGAAGTTATTGGCCTCTGTCCAATTCGATTCAGCTGCCCTCTGTTGTTGTTGCTGTTATTGTTACCATGCACCGTTCTGGGCACCTGGGGCCAAGAGGTATAGGAGACAGAGTAGAAATTCTTAAGAAGTTCATGTCCCAACACATAGGGGGACGTCTGTGCCTTTAACCCCAATGGCCCATGACAAGGGCAATTTTAGCATAAAAGATAAAGCAATATAACAGTGCAGAAAAGAAAGCAATTAACTATTTCTGCAGTGGGAGTAAGGGATCGGTCAGATAAGATCTCTTATCTATAGTATGGGTGATGAAACACTACATGCTCACAGGAAATAGAGATTAGAGTCAACTAAAGCAGCATTAGGGTGCCAAGCGTTATTCTGAACCCAAGGGCAAGGGTGGGGCTGGGGGCTGGGTATGGTAAGAACGAGAAAAGAAACCACTGCCTACAGATAGCTGCTCTCTTGTTTCAGCCCCACTGCTCAGCTCACGCTTTTCCTCTCGCTCGTGTGTCCGTGCACTTCACTCCTCTTTACCCTCAGAGACCCCATTAATCCTTTAAAGGTCCGATGTCTCCTTTGTAGATTCCTCACCCCTCACAAAACTAATTACTCGTCCCCATCTCCCTTCGTTTTTGTGTTTGCTATTCGGTGGCATAGCATTTTTTTTTTTTTTTTTGGCCCAATTCTTGTGGAGTAAGTCACAAATGCTTAGCACATCAGAGACACTACATAGATGCTCTTTGTGTTTGAAAAGTCAGTGGCAAATATAAACCCGGCAAAAAGTACGTATTGAGATACGAAGCATGGTTTTGGGCAAATGATAATGAGAAGTATGGGCCACTTTTCTGAGCTATAGAAATCTTTATCCGCCTGCCTGCTGAAAATCCTCTCGGATAATCCTAAAGGGACCTCACATTGAACTCATTAATATCGCCCAGAGCACTCCAAATTTCCAGTTGTCCCTCTTTCTGTGAAGGGTATTGTGGTCCATAGGATTCTGTGAGACAGACAGCTGGGGTAACTTTGGATACCTCTCTCCCACGTCCATCATTTTATGTCCCTCGGTTTTATTTCCCAAATGTCTTTTCTTCTCCATCTGTAGAGCCACCACCCTGTTCCAAGGGGCCATTATTTCTCTCCTGGAATGCTGTGACAGCCTGCCCAGGGCTCCCTGGGTCTCCCTCGGCCCCCTCCAACCTACCCCAAAGTCCAAGGCTCCTCACGTTGCCTTTTAACCATTTCCCATTGCCCTGAGGTAAAGACTGAAATATCTCCAGATTTCAAGGCCGCGAATGGCCTCATCCAGCACTCTGCAAGCTTTTCTTTTCTACAGAGCAGTCATACGAAATATTTGAGGCTTTGCAGACCATGCAGTATCTGTGGAAACGACTCAACTCTGCTGTTGTAACAAGAAAGCAGCCATAGACGATGTGGAAAAACAAGCCAAAACAAGCACATCTGTGTTTCAAAAAAACTTTATCTACAGGGGCGCCTGGGCGGTTCAGTGGGTTAAGCGTCCGACGTTGGCTCAGGTCATGATCTCACCATTCGTGGGTTCGAGTCCCGCATCAGGCTCTGTGCTGAGCGCTCAGAATCTGGCGCCTGCTTTACATTCTGTGTCTCCCCGTCTCTCTCTCTGCCCTTCCCTCACTTGTGCTCACTCGGTGTCAAAAATAAATAAACGTTCAAAAAAATTTTATTTACAAACATAAACATCTGGTGGGATTTGGATTTGGCAGGCAGGCCACAGTTGGCTGACCCCTGGCCTCGTCCAAAATGACCACTCTACCCTACGACCTAACAATTGTAGTACTAGGTATTTTTTTTTAAATTTTTTTTTTAACGTTTATTTATTTTTTGGGGACAGAGAGAGACAGAGCATGAACGGGGGAGGGGCAGAGAGAGAGGGAGACACAGAATCGGAAACAGGCTCCAGGCTCTGAGCCATCAGCCCAGAGCCCGACGCGGGGCTCGAACTCACGGACCGCGAGATCGTGACCTGGCTGAAGTCGGACGCTTAACTGACTGTGCCACCCAGGCGCCCCAGTACTAGGTATTTATCCAAAGGATACAAAACTGTTGATTTAAAGAGGTACATGCACCTCAATGTTTATAGCAGCACTATCACCCCAAATGCCCATCGACTGACAAATGGATAAAGAAGCTGTGTTATAAGGTGCCCGGGTGGCTCAGTCGGTTAAGCCTCTAATTCTTGGTTTCAGCTCAGGTCACGATCTCACAGTTTGTGGGTTCAAGCCCCACGTCGGGCTGTGCACTGACAGTGTGGAACCTGCTAGGGATTCTCTCACCCCTCTCTCTCTACCTTTCCCCTGCTCTCTCTCTCAAAATAAATAAAATAAAATAAAAAAAAAAGATGTGATACATGTGTACAATGGAATATCACTTGACCATCAAAAAGAATGACATCTTACCATTTGCAACAAGATAGATGGAACTGGAATGTATTATGCTAAGTGAAATAAGTCAGTCATAGAAAGCTGAATACCATACGATTTTTCTTATATGTGGAATTTAAGAAACAAAACAGATGAAAAAGGGGAAGGAAAAATAAGATAAAAACAGAGAGGGACGCAAGCCATAAGAGACTCTTAAATACAGAGAACAAACTGAGGGTTGCTGGAGGGGAGGTGGGGGGGGGATGGGCTAAATGGGATTAAGGAGGGCACTTCTTGGATGAGCACTGGGTGTTACATGTAAGTGATGAATCACTAAATTCTATTCCTGAAACTATTACCACACTGTTAACCAGCTTGGATTTAAATAAAAAAAAATTTTTTTTAAAGCAAAAAAATGACTAATTTTTAAATTTGAAAAAAAAAAAAAAATGGTCACCCCAGCTTCATCTGTCTCCACTCTCCCCTCCGTTGCCTGCACTGACCTGATCCAAAACATGGCTGAGCCCTCTTCTCCCACAGGACTTGGCCCTTCCTCCATCTGCAATGCTGCTCATCTCTTTCCCCTTCCTTCTTTACCAACTTTACCCTCTTCCTTCCAACCTCAGCTAGAAATCACTTCTTCAGGGTGGCTCTTCTGGACTTTCCAGCTAAGTCAAGTCGCCAGCTAAATGCTCTAGAAACGTCTTTCTTTTCCTTCACAGGCTCTTCACGGTTTGTAAACACGTATGTATTCGTGTGATTGTTTAACACCTGACCCTTCCCCTTGGCCAGTAAGTGTCATGAAGGTAAGTCGTGTCTTGCTCACCATTAGCCCCAGTATGTTCCTAATACACTGCCTGGCACATGGTTGGCTTTGTTGACGAAGGAATTAAACTAAGGAGCAAATGCCAAAGACAGACCACATAGGTAAAAACCATAACTGAAGAACTGACTGAGGTTGCCCTATTGAGGTGAAAATTGTATATTACTACAAACTTTCTGAAGAGCAATGTGTCACGGATATCTTAAAACCCTTAAAAATGTACATATCATTTGATTTAGCAATCCTACTTCTTGGAATTTACGTAAGGAAATAACCATGAATGTATGCAAATATTTATGTATAAAAGTTTTCATCATACCATGATAATCAACTCATTGTGAGCATATTGAAAACCATCTAAATGTCTCAAAAAATAATAGGGCTTGAGTTGAATAAATTCATCAATGAAAACCACTTACTATGCAGCTGTTAGTAATAATCTTTTAAACTCATATTTAACGACTTGAAAAATGGTCACAATATAAGGGGTAGTCAGCGCTGGCTACACGATTTGCATAGCCGGTAGAAAATGAAAATGCGGGGTCAATAATCAGAATAAAAGTAACTTGCCTTTCTTCAATGATCTCTCAATTGACTTCACGTGGCATCTTTTTGCTGTTTAATGTGGTTCTAAGTAAAGAAAAATTAAAAATGTAAATTATTACATGAATTTTACCATTCATCTTTCCAATGTGCAATGCAAGTTTAAAATGCAAATAATAAAACCACTCAGCTCGATAGCAGGATTACCGAAATTATACAATTCATATTTCGAAGTTCGTACACACATATACTTCTTTCTTGCCAAAAGTGTGGAAACGCTGCACGAAATGAACCCACTGTTTTTATTTCACTTCTTGAGATGTGCATAATCTACAACACTCTCTACTTTTAGCTGGCTGATGAGTAGGGAAGGACTGAAATAAAAAAGAAGAAGGGGTGCCCGATTTTTTTCCCTTTCCTTCCATTTTATCATTTTTGGCACAAGTGACTGGCTCCTAGAGGGAAGGGGTATGAGCGGGGAAGGATGTGGCAAGGTTTCTCGGGCACCTGCGGTCTTCCTCCCATAGAAAAAAGTTCTGGTCCAAATGGAAAGGATGGCTTCCCGCGACTATCAGCATTCCCACTCGCTCAGTCAAAATGCAACACCCTTACCTGGCACTCGCCCTCAGTACCAAGAAAGACCCATGCATCGTGGACCCACAATCCTGTGCTCATGGAGCACTGTGACCGCTACCTGCAAATGGGGCAGCAGGAACAAAAGTCATCTCTGTTGCACAGATGTCCTGTGCTCACAAATACGTCCTGGGGAGCTTCACTTACAAACAAAGCAAGTTCAAAGAGAAACTTCTTAAGAATTTCACGATGGCAACAGCAGAGCATGGAACCAACCACAGGCCACACACTCGTGAAGTTAGCCCAGCACTAAGTGGAAAAATTACAGTCTGATCTCAGTTTTGCTTTGAAAACCAACCCCCCCCCCACACACACACATACTTCCAAACACAGGCAAGCGTGCTCGCACACATATACACTCACATGAATACACAGACGTGTTTAAAAGATCCAAAAGATACACACAGAAATATCAATATTAGCTATCTCCAGGTTTTGTGAATGGTTTCTATTTTTTGCTTGGTGCTCTGCTGTGTTTTCTACGGTAAACATGCCCTATATTTGCAATAATAAAAGAAACTGTGTGTTTATATGGCTGCTGTTTAGGAAGTCAACCCTTTGTGCAGCCACAGTGAGGAAAAATGTCAGATGGGCGAACAGACCCTCCTCAACGTGTATTCTCGAAGCAGCAGCCAATTTCATTTTACCACTTAGAAGCGTGCTTTCCTCCATTCCCACCAGGATGGGGAGAGGGTGCCAGATGGCAGAAGGCTTTGTAGTCCCTATAAGATAGCTTCATCTATTGTTGGTACAGTTTAAGCACTCAAAATTGTGTCACCTTCTAGGCTTTGCCAATAATGTCATCATTTGATATGGAAACGATGCCTACTATTAAAATGGTAATTTGATTTTTAAATATGCTTCAGCAGCCAGCTTGCTCTGACTGAAGTATTTATCTTGCTTTTCCAAACCCTTTCTTCTTGAGCCATAATACAAGAGCAGAGAGAATTAAGTTCAAGTGTGTGCTATCTCTTCTCCATCCTTCTTTTTTTCCCATTCTCTCTCTTGATGGATGGGATGGGTATGGCAAGTATCCCTAGCCTAGAGGATGTCAGGAAGTGAACTCTGGTTGTTGAGATTTCACTACCTGGACGACTGCCTTGTTCATCATTTCTACCAAATGCACTTCACAGGGCCTGGAATATAGTAAGTGCTCAGTAAGTATGTGTTGAATGAGAGGCACTTGGGTGGCTCCATCGGTTAAGCCTCTGACTTTGGTTCAGGTCATGATCCCATGGTTGGTAAATTAGAGCCCTGCATCAAGCTCTCTGCTGTCAGCACAGAGCCCGCTTCAGATGCTCTGCACACACACCCCCCGCCCCTCCCTCTCCGGTTGTCTCTCTCTCTCTCTCTTTCTCTAAAATAAATAAACTTTTTAAAAATATATCTGTTGAATAAATAGATTGTCACGTGTCCGTGCAAATGAACGAAGTGAGTGATTTACGCAGTGAGTCTTCTTAGTTAAAAGTTACCCTTTGATCGCAGGCGGTAGAACTGACTTAAAGAAGGGAGAAAGTAGAAAGCTACATATATGGTGGCATTTGAACAGGCCCAGACACTCAGCTCAAAAATTTTCTACCAAAATGCCTAGAATTCCACCAAAGAGATTCATTCCTTTGGGTTAAATCACCTATTTTCTAAAGCAAACAAACAGCACTTTAATTTTTTTCCAGCGTTATTGAGATGTAATTGACATGCAACATTGTGCAGGTTTAGGGCGTAAAGGGGGCAATGTGCTGATTTGATACACTTATATATTGCAAAATGATTACCACTGTAGCATTAGCTAACATCTCCTTCACATCACATAATTACCGTTTCTTTTTTGTACTGAAAACATTTAAGATCTACTGCCTTGGCAGCTTTTAAGTGTATAGTACAGTATTATTAATGTAGTCTCCGTGCAATACATTAGATCCCCAGAACCCATTTGTCTCACGACTGCACATCTGTACCTTTTAACCACATCTCCCTATTTCCCCCACCCCTAGGCTCCTGACAACCACTCATTTTACTCTCTGTTTCCATGCATTTAGCCTTTTTAGATTCCACACATACATGAATTCCACACATACAGTAATTTTCTTTCTTTGATTTATTTCACTTAGCATAACGCCCTGAAGGTTCATCCATGATGTCACAAAAGGCAGGATTTCCTTCTTTTATATGGCTGAATAATATTCCATTGTCCATATACATCATATCTTTATTCACTCATCTGTTGAAGGATCCCTAGGCTGTTTCCATATCTTGGCTATTTTAAGTAATGATGCATAAACATGGGGATGCATATATCTTTTCAAATTAGTGTTTTCCTTTTCTTCAGATAAGACTCAGGCATGGAATTATCGGACCCTATGGTAGCTCTATCTAGGATCTTCTGAGGAACCTCTGTACTGTTTTCCAAGGGGGCTGTACCGATTTGCATTCACATCAGCAGTGCACAAGGTTTCCCATTTCCTCACATCCTTGTCATTTGGATTAAATAATTTCTAAAGCCTCCTTTCAAAATCCAAAACTCCATAGGAGAGGATAACACATTAACCTTTTATTCTTCAGTATAATTTAGCCTATCAGTTAACTAGCATTCACCTAGGAAAGTAGAGCTGGGGTTTGGATGGGAAGAAAGGATCAGGCATCCGATATGGTGCCAGAGAGGAGTGCCCAGGATGCAGAAGGGTAGCATGAGTGCTCTGGGGCTAGAAAAGAGAAGGGAGAAGTGAATAGGGGCCCCACAAGGGAAGAAAAAGAAAGAAAAAGAAATTGAATACATTTAAATAAATTTCACCTAGTTCAAATCTTCCCTTGGAAGGATTCTCCCTTTCATTCTTTCTTTTTTTTCAATATCACTTTAAAAAAGTATTTTAAAGTAACTTCTACACCCAATGTGGGGCTCGAACTTACAATCCCGGGATCAAGAATTCCATGCTCTACCGACTGAGACAGCCGGGTGCCCTGACTCTCCTTCCTATTAATTGGTTTTCAGTGATGCCCCAGCGCTATCTGGCCACTCACCCAGATCCCAGCCTCTTAAGTAAATGCATCTCCATTTACTCTGTGCTCCATTCCCGTGTTCAGTGTCTGGCAGGGCTGGGGGAAGGGGTTGGTGACAGGATGGAGAAATTAAACCTTTACGAAGGTTCAACCCCACCATTGCAATGGAGCCTTGGTAACCGAACGAGGCATCCAAAACGGGAGTTGAGTTCCAGGTCTGACTCCAGTGATTTCTGGAATGGAACAAGAGGGAGAATGGGACAAGAATGCCAAATGGGGCCTGGGTGGCTCAGTCAGTGAGTGCCTGACTCTTGGTTTCAGCTCAGGTCATGATCTCACAGTTCGTGGGTCTGAGCCCCATATCGGTCCCGCACTGACAGGTTCTCTCTCTCTCTCTCTCTCTCCCTCTTTCTCTGACCCTCCCCTGCTAGTACTCGCTCTCTCTCTCTCTCTCTCTTTTACTCTATCCCCTCCCCTCAAAATAAATATATGAACTTCTAAAAACTAAAATAAAAGGAGAACGGGACAAAATGGAACACAACCAAATGAAATGGATTGGAATTGAAAGGGGTGTTGTTGAATTTTTACCTGGAGAATACAGCATTTCAGCCATGTAAGAATAAATCTGAGAGAAGAATCAAACATTTAAAGAAAAAAGATGAATAATCTGTCTGGAACATTTAGGTTCAGGAAAATCTAAGTTATTAATGGGTGTTGGCCACGTAGAAATGAAATAATGTCCCTCTCATTCACTTTGTATTTGTTTAATGCAGAAATTGGCTGGATGGCATTACTAAGATTTTATGATGAAGAGATGTTTGAATTCCAAGAAACAAGTAACCCAATCTCAAGTCCGTATCCCTGCCAAGCCTAGTTCAGCATCCAAAGTGGTAAGAGATGGAAAAAGAAAATGAGAAGAATAAAAACAAGACATAATTTCCTTCCTTGTTGAATCACGAAAAGGTTGCTTTATACTTCTTCCTTCCCACATGGTGAGCCTCCAGGGAAGAGAAAGAAATTTCCAACCTGCTTACCCAAATCATTATCAGAGTAGATTAGAGCTATGCACCTCGCATGCAAATAGACCAGCTTGACAAAAATAAAATAAAATAAAATAAATTGGGATTTAGATAACAACAAATAAACTGGGTAGAAGGCTCATTTGGGTGCCTTGCCCTTGCACCAATGGAGCTGAAATTAAGTCAGGGTTATTGAACTGCTTGGCTCCCCTCTGTCCTGACTTCTTACACGGGACTCCTCCCCACACGGATGCACCTGCCCCAGCACACACGCTCTGTCTCTACTTCAAACTAATGGTTATCATCACCCCCACAGATGTCACATCGTCAAATGGCTCTGCCTGTGTCTCTAGGATGCAGCCAGGTACCACAGGCTCCCTGCCAAAACGAGCCATCTTCTCACCTGTGCGTCCCTCAGAAAACACCTTCGGGCACTTACTTTCTGGATGCATTATTCCAGCCATGCTTCCTAACCCCTTTCTACATTTCCCCACCTCTCATCAACTCCTTGTCTATATCTCTGAGGACCACTTGTAGCAAAATCTTACAGTCAGGGAGGTTCGCCTTTCAGTTGTTCTGCCGATCAGTTGGGCCATTTCCCCATTCTTGTCCCCTTTAGTCTTTTGGTGCCTTCAAGCTTCCCCCTCTCGCCCATCAAAACCTGCTTCTAGAAAGGACTCGCTTGTCACTTATTCTCTGGTATGATTGCATTTTTATCTAAGACGTGTGGGCTTTAAGCTCCATGAGAAGTCTTCCCTTGGTACCCCAAGAAGGACCTTTCAAGTGTTAATGAGGAGTTGGGGAGGAGAGGTTCTCTGTGACTCTGCAGTTCTACCTCCCAAAGTAGTGCTTCTCAAAGCATGATCTGAAGACCCTGAGTGTCAGAATCACCTAGCGCACTGATTAGGCACGGAGTCTGCGGGACTGCTTCTGCCCCCTCAAAAGCCGCTAAAAAAAAAGACCTGTTGGAGTGAGTCCGGAAATCTATCCTTTAAAAAAATCGCCCTGATGCTTGTGAAGCCCAGCAGAGTGTACGAACTTCTGATCTTGGGACAATCCACATGAAATGCTATACCTGCCCAGCAATTAGCCTCCTTGGTGATCACCTAGGTCCACCTTCATTTCCCAGATGTGGAATCAGCCCAGGGCCACCGCATGGCTTACTGAACATCACACACTCCTGGGCAGCAGAAGAGGGTCCGTTCTAACACAAGCTTCTTGACTCTAAAACGAGGACACGCCCCCTTCACTTCCGAATGAGTTTAGGAAAGAAGGACCTAAATCAGGAGTCCCCTTACGCAAAGCAACTGTTGAAACTGGTGCCTAAAAGCAGAGCAACATCTTTCAGACATTCTTCAAGTTACAGTTCATCACAAGCCCACATGCTCAGTCAAATATTACTTAGACCTGACACGGAGATGTCAGGCAGAAAGCGTAACTGTCCACTGAGTGCTGGGAGACTTGACAGGAGCCTTCTATCTCCTGGTCCTATGCCCGTGGTTCAGTATGTCACATTGGACCTAAATCTCTGAGCTTCTTGAATTCAGAAATTCCTTCACCTTCAACTGCATAAGCATATTTGGTCAGGACAGTGGAAAGCGGCTGCCAGAAAATAATCAATACTGGAAAAGGAAACAACGTAAGCTGCCTAGCTAAAGAAGTAAAGATTATAGACCTCGAAGGCTCTGAAAGGAGCCTTTTCGAGCCCAAAGAGGCCAAGGAGAACTACAGAAGTAGAAGGAGATTTTGGAAACAAAGATCATGGCAGCGATGACATGACCAAGGCCATGGTCATGATGACTTTGTGAAAAACGAACTACTTATAAATACCAGGAGGCTAGTCTATCATGTTGAGAAGGGCGTACTTAAAAACACCTGGTCTAGAGGTGCCTGGGTTGCTCAGCCTGTTAAGTGTCACCTCTTGATTTTGGCTCAGGTCATGATCTCACAGTTTGTGAGCTCGAGTCTCATGTCTGGCTCTGCACTGACAGCACAGAGCCTGTTTGGGATTCTCTCTCTCTCTCTCTCTCTCTCTCTGCCCCTCCTCTGCTTGTGCTCTATCTCTCTTTCTTTCAAAATAAATAAACAAACATGGAAAAAATGTTTTAAAAAGACACGTGGTCCAACGCCCCTTCTGAGGCGTGACTTCCCTCACTCAACTCTTCCGACAGCCCCCATCGGAATTTCCAGTGCCTATGTGACTACTCAAGATGACACATCTTATGTTTGGATCTTCCCACTTCTAGAAAGCTCATCCTTGTGTGGAACCGAAACCAGACCTCACCCACCCAAAGAAAACAGAAAACAAGAGCAGAGGAGCAGAAACCAAATTGCTATAAAACCCACACAAGAGTCGGGAAAAGGAAAGACCTTTTGTTCACCATTGGGAGATTATATCATGGAGCAGGTTTGGGAGTTGGGTTTTGTTTTCTGTGATGTGTGGAGAGTGTGTTCCACCCCAAAAGCTTTGACTCCTTGCTAATTCTAACCATTCCCCCGAGGGCAATTTCCTCCAACTAAATAAGGTTCCTCAGGTGTAATGAACTGTAAAAGAGATGAATAGACTCTTCCCCACTTGTAAAACCATCACAGACAAAGAGCGGTTGAAACACCTTGCTTTCTTGTTTCCTTTAGCCCAGAGAAAGTGAAGCAGATGGTCTCCAATATACACTAGGCTTTGAGGTCCAACTCAGGAGCACAGGGCTTCAAGACAGCAGGAAGGATGGAGCCAGACCAAAGATGACCACCTTACTGCTGTTTGTCCTGCATGCGATAGTCTTAACAAAGCTCGGGAACTCTTGAAAAAGGCCTCTGAATCATTAAACCACACGCAGGATTCGGTAACCTCTAGAAATTGTCCTTCTGAGTGTGGATTCTGCAGGTACTTCTTCAAACCTGGAAAAGGCTTACTTCTCTTAAAAAATTTGACCCAAGCTCCCCCAGCTGGCCTCGGGAGCTTGCACTAGGCTCTGGGCAAGGCTAGCACAAGGCAGGGAGAACATCCATCTTTGGTTGGAAGATTATGAGAATAAACCGTCTCTCATGGCCCTAACATGTCTACATGGGAGTAGGTACACAAACACCTAAGACTTAGAAAGGATTAGGATATTTATAGCAGGTCTTTCTGAGCCTGGGAAATGGAACACTACTGAGCAAACGGAAACTAAAAAAATCATTATTAAGCTAAAAATGTATTCAGAGACAGATTTGCCTCTCCATGTTTACATGATTTCATAAAATAAAAACAACTCCCACCCGCTACACCACCACCCCACGTTGATCCTAATAGACAACTAGCTGTATTTCCACAACACCGAGCATCTAGAAGAAGGGTGAATCATTCAGTCAAACATCTGCATGCCAGTCTACAGTGTTGCCAAAAATCTGGATATTTTGAGTGACTTGGATAGCCAGCTGTATTTTTCCTTTTTTCTTTCTCTCAACTCTCTAAAATGACACTAGTGAAAATACATTAAAAACTATCTGTAAGCACCCTACCAATATAAAGTGTCGTCATTACTGAGGTCTCATTGCTCTAAAAAAATGATATGAAGCCTTCAGAAACATTTTGAGTAAGAAACACCTTCTTGAGTATAAATCAATAAAACTGTATATTTCTCCCCCACCTCTCCCCCTCTGAACGTTACAGGAGCAGCTCAGGAAAACAAGAGAGAATAACAATAAATGATATTACAATGTTGCTTTGAAATGAGAATTGGTAGTATGGGGCAGGGGGAAAACAGATGGGAAAGAAATGTACCCGGAGAGGATGATTTTTGTTTAAATAAGTTCCTAATATGTGAAATGCACAATGGAAACTGACAGGGGAGGCAGAGGATCATTGTTTGAATCCCATCAATATAAACACAGTTGCAAAAGAAATTGGCTTGGGAGACGGAAGAGCCTAGTCTGAATAATGTTGTATACCAATAAAAACCATAAAAAGTGGGGGGGGGGAATATAGAGAGTAGGTGATTATTTCCGTGATGCTTGAAGATGTACATTTCCACAGATGTCTAGGGGAAGGGAAAAGATGCCTTAGCTATCCCTTAGTTGGCTATTTTTGCTACAGTTCATAATTCTTTCAGGTTTCGCCAAATCACGACTTGTCTGTCTGCTCGACTGTATGCCAGGCGGACCTCTATCTTACAGTGAAAGAGGCTGTATATGGGTCAGTCCTGGGAAATATAAAATACGAAGATGTTGGGCTCAACCTAACTCCCGGCCCTTGCTGACATTCACACTGGTTAATGAGAATCACAAAATATTTCGGGCAGGCAGAGGACACAGGAAGGAGCATCCTTCCTCAAGCCCACCTGACCATCCACTCCTATCCGGGAGGGCCTCTCACTTCCCGGTGCCTCTATTCCTTCACTACCTGCCACGACTATGTTATCCTGGGGACAGAGAACGATACTTGTTGATTAGATAGTAATATTTATCAAATATATCAGTAGAAGGAGCAACTACTCCCCACTGGCAGCTTCTTAGTACTCCACTAGCCTGTCTGAAAAATCTTTTGATTGTATCCGTTAAAACTCACCGTGGATTATGACGGTGGTGGCCAATCTGTATGAGAACACAACGTGCCTGGTAGGCATGGCAGAAAGGGCATTCCCCCCATCATCTCATTTGAGTCTCACAATAACCCATGTTGTAGGCTGATTACCCCCATTTTACAGGTAGGGAAAATAAAGCTGAGCGACATTTGATAAGTTGGTTGAAGTGACCAAGCCTACGAAGGAGAGCCAGGTGCAAGTGCCCTGAAGTTCATAGCCGGCTGCCTTGACTCAATAGTCATGATTGATCTTACAAGCATGACATTATTTGAAGGATGTGAGCAAAGTTCGCCCTGACCCCAGTCTCCCTTTCGGAAGTGCCCGAAATGTCATCATTAATAATTCAACACTTTGTATTAAGCATTGCTCTTTTCTTGCTGGACTCATTTTGCAATATCTTTTTCTTTTTTTTTTTTTTTAAAAAAAGTGCATCCATCTACTTTCCTCTATGACAATTAAGACCCGGAAAAACCCAGGAGATGGAGAGAGCAAAAGACGCATGGCAATGGGGGAGGAGGGAAAAGAAGGCACCCAAAACAGCCATTACCGACTTCATCCGTTTTTCAGGGGTAAATCTCATGAGGAGGAAGGAAAACGAAAAATGGCGAGAAAGATTTTCATCAGACTCAGCGCACTCCTAGACGGGAGACATGGGTGTGATAGCAAGAAGCCAAGGAGGGTCCTTCCTTGGAGCTTTTCAAGGTGAGACTTCTTTTGGTTGAGTTGAAAGCCATCTTGCCAGAAGACAGAAGAGGGACGAGATGACCTTCAGATGGCGCTTCCCATGCTGGCCTCCTCTGCTCTGGCGCTAAGCTGATTGACAGCCCATTTGGAGCCTTGTGAGATAGACTCATTCTGTTTCCTCTTATTTCTGTTATTATGGACAGAGGAAGCAGCTCTTCGCTGTGAGAAGGGCCAGTGTGAAAATGCAATTCCTTTGTGATAAGAGCCGGGAGGAAGGATAAGCAGGAAGGAAGGGGTGAGGCTCTTTGTTGTTGATAACTGAAAGGGGCAGACGCTTCATAAAAAAATGACAAGCAAGAGTCTTTTCAATAAGGTGATAATACTTGTGGCTGATCTGATGTGTGGCTGCTCTGGCAGTGTTGTCTGAAGAGGGGCAACTGCATCACGAGGTTCACGACACGCTCGGGTGAAGGGGTTTTCTCCGTCCAAGTCAAAATAGTATTCTCTTTCACCAATCGCAATTTGTAGTTCGATGAACAGTGACGGCATTTTATTTTAAATCTTTTTTTTTGGGGGGGGGTTTGGTTCTCTGAAAACTCTTAGAATGTGCAACTCTCAGCCTTATTTTTAAAGTGAAGCCAGAGGGGCGCCTGGGTGGCGCAGTCGGTTAAGCGTCCGACTTCAGCCAGGTCACGATCTCGCGGTCCGGGAGTTCGAGCCCCGCGTCAGGCTCTGGGCTGATGGCTCGGAGCCTGGAGCCTATTTCCGATTCTGTGTCTCCCTCTCTCTCTGCCCCTCCCCCGTTCATGTTCTGTCTCTCTCTGTCCCAAAAATAAATAAACGTTGAAAAAAAAATAATAAATAAAGTGAAGCCAGAGATTTGGGATTTAAAAAAAAAAAAAAATCAGAGGAACATTTTGTCTCTGCTTTATAGGAAACTTGCCTGAGACTGAAAGTCCCTTTGAGGGGTCCCCACATCCATCCCTCTGACTTTAGGCAAGACGAACTAACTGAATCCCACCATAGAGCCCTCAGAAACTTTGCACTGCTTCCTTGCCTCTATGTTGTGGGTTCAAGCCGGTCCTCTTTGGGAACGCTCGTGAGGCTCTACATTCCAGCGTTCCCGTCCTTGTCTCCGACACGATAAACGGGTGGCAGAGTCACATGTTGCCATGTTGCTGCCAAGTTACTTTCTCTACTCCCTTGTGACCACTCCTATTCCTGCGGATGACAAGGGGCTGCTTTTACCGCCGAGAACAAAGATGCCACATTGTCAGCCTCCAACATAAAATGCTGAGATTTTTCTTTTTTTTTTAATGTGTATTTATTTTTGGGGGGACAGTGTGAGAGAGCGAGAGAGAGCAGGGGAAGGGCACACAGAGAGGGAGACACAGAATCCGAAGCAGGCTCCAGGCTCTGAGCTGTCGGCCCAGAGCCTGATGCGGGGCTCGAATCCACAGACCGTGAGATCATGACCTGAGCTGAAGTCAGACCCTGAAGTGACTGAGCCACGCAGGCGCCCCAAAATGCTGAGCTTTCTGGCGTAAGCAGAAAGTGTAAGAAACGAAGTGCTTATGGGGTGCCTGGGTGGCTCAGTCGATTGAGCATCCGACTCTTGGTTTCAGCTCAGGTCACGATCTCACAGTTCATGAGTTCAAGCCCCGCATCGGGCTCCGCGCTGATGGCGGGGAGCCTGCCTGAGATTCTCTCTCTCCCTCTCCCTCTGACCCTCCTCCGTTCTCTCTGTCTCTCAAAATAAATAAATTTTTAAAAATTAAAAAAAAAAAGAAACAAAGTGCTCGTGGGTAGAACTGTTTCTGCCTCGCCCTCCATTGCATGTATGGGAGAGAGAGAAAAGGACTAGAGAACTTCTAGAAAGCAGAGATGAGTTTGAATCTCTGAATCCTGCCCACCACCCCCCGATAATTTGGAAGAGGGGAGTAGCACAAAAACCTGATTTTCTGGGGTCAAAGAAAGATCAACGTCTTACTGGTCCCACCTGGAGTTACAGTCTTTGGCATCCTTCCAGGAACCCTTGTGCCTTGGGGTGTGTGAAAAATAAGGCAGCCGGGCTGTAAGGGAGTCAGTAGGGCAGAGTGAAGACTCCTACACCCCTTTAGTGTTCCCGTCATCAAAAAGTGACTTACAAGTGGTCCCCAAGCTCATGAGAAGGGCTGGGAAGCAGGCGGATGGATGCACAGGAACCAGGAGATGGGAACAAGGAAATGCAGGGAATCCTTATGGAGCTGGGGAGCTGAAGGCTATGGTAAAACCAAAACTACTTTGGTGAATGAGAGATAGATGGCCGAACACCTACCTGGCAGTGGGACCCGTTGCAAAGGGGTTCCCCCGAGGACCGATCATTCACATCATGTTTCGAAGGACGTCAGCCAGGACCCAAATGGGTGGAAGCCGGGACGTGGACATCCCCCGCCCAGATGACGCTTGACAGTGGACCGTGGTAGAACCGCCCTCCTCCCGCTCAAACATCAGGGCCAAGGAAGAGGGAGAAGCAAAAAGCTGAAAGGGAGAAGGTTTTGGTTGTTTGTTGTTTTTTTTCAGATCTAGAATGTGAAGGAATTATAACCGTATGTGCCTGCGAAGATACCTCGTAGGACTGAGTTTGCTTGAAAGTGACTAGATTGCGTTTGTGCATCCAGTGGAATAAGGGCTCGGATTCAGAGAATTAAATTGGTTTTTAGGAAAATGAAGAAATTTATTTTTGTTCGCCTGAGCCTGTGCCCGTGAAAATTCGTATCCAACGGTTTCTATTCCATATTGTTGAGGAACGATGTAAATAAGGACTTGCCGGTAGAATCACGTGAGCCCCCGCTCATGAGTGCTGAGCACAGTGCTCCTGGAGCACTCAAGGAGCTGAGTTGCTCACCAATCTCTTGCACTCCGAGCGACGATTTGCTACAGGAGATGAAGTTTTGGCCTCAGAGTGGCTAGCTGCCAGGCCCCGTCTCATTAGGATCCTTTCTCCAATTAATTATGCAAATGGGCTATTGATTATTAATTAGAACACTTAGCGATGTTATTAAGAACTTGGAAGATAAA